CGTGGCGGCGCACATCGAGCGCGGCCGCGTCGCCATGAGGAAACTGGAGGAGATGTTCGCTAAGCACCCTACATTACAGAGCCAAGAGGTAAAGCTCCTGTCTCTGTTAAGGTCCCTGCCGACGTCCGTGACCGTGCCGCCGCTGTTAAAGCCGTCGGTGACGACGCTCATGCAGCGGCTATTCGGCAGCGTCTGCAACCTGCAGGACAGGTTCCACAAAGAGCCCGCGCTAGAGACGTACGAGGTAGGTAGGCCGCGACACGCCACTCCCGGACCGACTTCGCAAAAGTATCTTTCTCTGGCCGAACAATACTGTACTTGCGTGCGATGTTGCTAATGTTGTAAAGTTTTCCTTCACGGCTGCGAGCGGTGACAGGAAGGATGCTTCGGCATGCGACGCGGTGAGCGCGGAGGATGCATGTGACGGCTTGTGGCTCAACGTGATGGTGTCAGTACTCCGGCCGACTTAATGATGTGATTTATTCTAATAGTTTGATTCGCTAATTTATGCAATGCTTAGCACTAGAGATCATTTCAAAGCATCATGTTCATATGCACATCATTTGAGTTTGGGAGCGGTGTAAATATAAAATGTAAAGCAGGAGGCGGCACTGGGCGCCTGTGCATCCCGGAGCATCCTACATCATTTGCTTCGGGATGCAATGATGACGTTGAAGGATACTTTTGTCGGCGTCGGGCCGGCGTACCTTGAAAGTGATCGTTACGAGTGCCCTGGAGGTGGATTACCGTTATTTTTTTTACTAAGGAAGCAAGAGATTTAGAAGAAATAATACCGTATGATTTACAACCCAATTGATAACTCTATACGCTGCCAAAAACCTTCGCTTCCTCATTTTGATTACATTGTGATTTTATTTTGTTCTGTAGCACATATTGACTAGAATTTCAATGAACATGTATTAAAGTCTTGAAAGGAGTTTTCTTTTATTTTAGTTAATTATTATAACTTTTTATTTATTTATTTTATTTACGACTGGCCAGACTGACTAGCTTGCATATCCCTACAATATGTTAGGTATCGGATTTCCGATACATGACCCACATCTTGTAAGTTAAATTTTGTTGATGAAAATAATGCCATGGTGAGGTCGCACGTCATCACACCACTCAATAAAATTTTAGATATGACACGTAAAGTATCGGAAATCCGATACCAAATTTTTTTCGTTATATTCAATTTTGTTTTGCTCTATATTTCCTCTGTATCCTTATAGTGTCTCTATCTAGCAATAATGTGTAAATTATCCCATAATATTATCCTAATAAATACTATTAAATTATACATAATTAGTATAACTAAGCTGCTTAGATTTGTCGTTTGTTTCCAGATAATGCGCAAGCTGTTAAACTTATACAAAGATTGCCGATTTTTAGACCGTCTAATGGGTACATCCTTCTTTCATGAAGACCACTTTTTGGTAAGATCCAACGTGTTTTTTTTTTAATTTACAATTGTGGTTTACAAATAAATGCGTCACAATTTCTGATGGTCCTATATAGGCTCATAATATTTATAATTTCTCGGTGTACTATTCAAACCGCTTACGAATTACGAATAATCGCTGTTGGAAAGTGAAAGTGGGAAGTATAGGCGTAACGGTAAAATGGGGTGGATAGGGTTTGAGCGGCGAAAAGGAACAGAAGAGGGGTGAATCGATACTATGAAGACGTTCCTTATATCTATTCATCCCTCTTCTGTCCCTATTCACCTCTCGATCCCTATTCATCCCATTTTACGTTATTTAATATAAAACATGACTTAATATTACAATAGTCCATGATCTTTCAGGGTCTTCTAGAACGCGTACGCGAGCGTGGCGCAGTAACTCCTCGCGCAGGAGAGCGGCGCGTACACGAACAACTCGCGCGACTGTTCGCGCCCAGTGAGCCCTCGGACACCGCGGCGGCGTCCCCCGCGCCCCCGTCCCCGCCGCCGGACCCCATGCTGGTGGACGACGACCTGGACCGCCCACTGCAAGCACTACAGACACTACAACCCGACGGCACTCGCGCCATCATCACGTCTAACGTCACTGTTGAGCCGATGCAGGTTAGATATGTCTTATTGTCTATTAACCTTTTACAGTTTTCCCTACAAAACTAAAAAAATGTTTCTTAGATATTTGTTTTTTTTTTTCAGTGTTTTTTTTCTCTCTCTTTAAAAAACGTTGCCCAACACTAGGATTTTCTCCTGTGTCGTGGGTGCGTTTACAAACATACCATATCACATACACATGACACGCAGACCCGGAACAACAATCTGTGGATCACACAAAGAATTGTTCCGTGCGGGAATCGAACCCGCGACACGTTGCGCGGCGGCCAGTTGCCCAGCCACCGCGCCAACCGTGTTTTTATATGTCATTGTTGTGCAATTTGGGATGCATACAATGTCTACATAAATCGTCGTAATATATGACCAGCTAATCTTAAATTATAACGTGTAACTTATGGCTTATAAAATTTCCGATAACTTAATGAAGATTAATGAACGAAGAACTTAATGAATTAGTCTTACATTCTTAATATTCTGACATTGCAATATCCCTTACAGATCGAGTGTAGTGTATCAAAGAAGCAGCTACATTTGAACATAGACACTGCACAGGCGACCGGATCTGACACGGCTGTATGTACACAAGAAATAGCTCTTAATGAAAATCGTAAGTACCATTTACAACATTATTTAATTCCGGAGTCAAGCACTGTTGAGTCTCTTCTATTCTGTCTTACTTGATTCTGTACAGTCCTCGTTGATCTGTTTCTCAAAGAGACCATGTCTTCACTTACATGCAAATAAGTCTCAGTTGCAAATCAATTCATGACGCTATGATATAATTATGTACGTCACCAGCCTCCACGGAGACAGCGGAAGGCGACCCCAGTCTCGGCAAGAACGTCTGCTACAAGCTGTGCTCGCTCATACACGCACAGCTCATCAAGGCACACGCTGAAGTCAGCCGGTGAGTCACTCACTATATTACTTCATAACAACGCATTTGTTTTCAGCATCGAAGAGTATCTGATTTTAAAGGAGCTTAGAAAGAAGCGTCAAAGAATAGGCCGTACCAACTTAATACCAGAGATATTGAAAATGTTAATGCATCTAAGTTTTCTGGTCTGAGAGCAGTATTCATTTAGTTTAGTCACTGCACTCTTCCCCGTCACAACTGCAGTCAGTGAATAATATTAAAGGCATATAATTTATTCCACAGGAGAAGGCCGCAAGAGTTGGCCGATTTCCTTAACAGCTTAGTGAAAATCGCATACAACTCTGAGGAGAACTTAGCCTACCACTTTTCAGTGTGAGCCTCCTTTATTGTTTTTATTTACATTTCTTTCTAATCTCTGGGCTTCTGTACATGTTTTGTCGCTTCTAGGACATCGTTCATTTATCAACGACTACTTCAAGGTATTCAATAAAATATTTTATTATGTACGGCCCAGAATTTGTTATTACATTTTACCCAGCTGTTAACCTAAATTGTATTAATATTAACCATGTGTTATACGCCTTAAAATCCCTTTTACAATGTGTATTTTGAGGAGATGTGGTGTTGATCTGATAAATGAAAGATGTCTTATTCATTTAGGTATTGGTGTAATAACATGACATGCAGATATAAATTCTCATTACACATATTTGCTGGTATGGCCTACATGTACTAATATTGCTTCATATGTTCTATCGGTAAATTGTACTAACGATTACCGGGTTATATTTTTCGTTAAAAATCGGGCACAAAACAGAGTTTCCACTTGGACACAATCATGTACAGATTTCCAATGATTTTTTATGTTATCTATGTATTTGTATATAGTTTTATTTATTTGTATATATTATTTTTGCTTGTCGTACTGTGTCGTTGTGGTCTCATGTACAGGATGTTCGTGTAACATATTGTAAATATATCAGTTCTAAATAAAGGACTAAATCTTTCCAATAAGTGTTCGGAATCATGTCTAAATAATACTGGAATGATTCTCACTCGCTTTGAATGTTAATATTGTCAGAAGAGTAGGCTGGCTGCCTATTGGCTTGTATGTCCCGTTACGTGTTTCCAATTTTACCCGGCGGCGCATTTGATTATCATAATATTATTATGATGAGATGAATGCTCGAAGAATTGAGCGCGGCATTGATACCCAATCTGTTGTGCCGCGAATATAAAGTTGATTTATATTTTTTTTATGTCTGTATTTATGTTTAATTTATTTTATTTTATGAATATAAACTCTTTAGACTGAATGTTAGGTGTAATATTAAAGTAATAAAATATATTCTTAGTTTGAGGTTTATAACCATTTCATTTGGAAAATGCCAATTTTATTTACATTCAAAGTCACTACGGACTATTTTCTTTAATTAGTTAGTTCTCTTTTGTTGAATTAAAGTCAATATGAAGTAGACCTCTGGTATATCGGAGCGTAGATCTACTCGAGACACAATGCGTTTTCTATTGTGTGTCATATATCGACAGACAAGAGGGTTAATTTTTTTTATTTAAATATTACATTTCTTATTCTCTGCGGACTCTTTTCCATGCCCTTATCATTCCACTACATTAAGAGGGTTAATTTAAAAACCTTAAAATTGGATAGGTTCCAATGATCAGATGCCACAGTATGACAGTTATTTGTCATAGAATTTTATGTTGTATTCTCCTACCCTTGTAGTTCAATACTTATATTAAACAAATTTATCTCAACTTCAACATTTCTCATTTTTCGTTAATTAATATTGTGTTACTCATTTGTAGATTTTTCATATAAAATTCACCTTAAACTGTCAAACACCAAGCGGTCACCGGTGACCGCCACCTATTGTTCTATAATTGTGTCTACAAAACCGGTACTCGACGAGTTAAACGCTTGCCCGTATCTTTTTTCCTTGAGACTCATTCTGTTATTTCAAAAATGGTATTATTTGTCTCAAGTTTCATAAATTTTGTCTGAAAATACATACATACAAACATGCATACATTGTATTCAGATTATTCGAAATGAATGTATTTCTTGACACATTTGACAATTTAAACAGAATTTCTATAAAAGAACTTCGTGTATTCTATAATCCCAGTCATAATAACAACAATAGTTTTCAGGAGATAAATAGATTTTTCTAGAAACATTTTGGATTGATTGTTAATTAAAGTTTAATTGATATTATTTTGGTAGGCTCACTGGTGCATTCACAATTGTTTGAAAGTATTACATTGCTTTTAAAGAAATCTAAGTAGCAACACGGAGTCTGGAATCGTGCCCGGTATATGGCAAATAGGCTCACCCCTATTACATGGGACTCACAATATAGACAGTGAAAAGTGGGTGTTACATTGTACAGTGGCATTAAATGCCGTAAGGTGCACCTCTGCCTACCCCATGTGGGATAAAAGGCGTGATGTAACGTATGAATGTAGTATAAATTACCTCAATATAAAATTATCTGTAACTCATAGTTCCGTCCAATTTGTGGCATAAATTCGTCTCTACCTGGTACATATTATCAACATCTCTACAATTCATCTAATCTTGTTAAATCTAGCGTGCTTCTGTTTTTCATATAATTTAGTGATTTTTTCTATTTTATAGCTAGCGTTATTTTATACTTTTTTATTTTATTATAATTTTATTCTAAGTTCGTTCTGTAGTCGACTGATAAAAAGTGGTAACTTAATTTCTCTGATTTCCGATATAACCCGATATGAATAGTTTACCGATTATGTTTGTATTTGTTTAATGTAAGTGTTGCGATCCTTAGGAATCATTCGCTATGAAGGAAGGCAAGTAAGGCGTCGGTTACAAACATGTATTTGCGTTTCAGGGTGGCGCTGCTTGCTAAGGACATTTGACGATGATGTGACGATTTTTGTACATTTAAAATTAGTTGTTAAATTTTGCCGCCTCCGGTTTTCTATGACGCGATTGTATTACTCGCGTTTCGTCGTAGCGAATATCAGCCCGGTTGTAACCTTATATTTCCCCCGTATATTATGATATGCATGGTACTGTATATACATAACTGGTTCAGTTAGTCCACTAATGGCCAATAACTCTAATTTCCCGTAATACCTTATACCTAGATAATATTGAATTATTGACTTTAATGTTGGAGATGTAGATTGATTTTTGATTACCATTATTTTCGAGTTGAAGTTCCAACAGTTAACAGCCCCTTAGTATTTATTCTTTCAACTCAAATATTTCAATATTAAATTTACTTCTGAATAGGTGATCCATTTATAAAAGGTATTATCTGCGATCAAATCTCATGTATAATCTTCACAAATTGAGTTGAATAAGGTAATTATTTATTAAAACTACATTCTCTATAAAGAGATAAAACGACTGTATAACCCTTACCTGTACAACATAAATTATATAATTCAATTTTCAAAGCCGAATTCTAACATTTACTAACTGAATAGCCACTCTATCTTCTCTTCCGCTTGAATAACTAACATAAACACAATAGAGAGGATTTGACAGCAGATTGTACTGATCATATTTTCAGAATAAATCCTTATCTTCATTCTTAACCTTCATCCCGACAAGAACTAACACATACCTCCATAAGCTGACCTTTCATAATAAACAAAACCTTTAACACAAAGGTCAGGTTATACTGGTTAGATCCTTGCCTTTTTAATATTTTCTACTATGAAGTATTCTAATATTAAGTTGTAATTAAAGTCAGTACGGTGCGCTGGTGGTGAGCATCACGGATGAAGAGAAGGCTGACTCAAAGGTGGCTGAGGTCAAGGACGCTACTACCGCGACTGCGCAGAAAAGTGAAGGTCCCGGTAAGATATTTGTATGGCTAATGTCAATAATGGATTGCAAAAACGCTGAAACCTTAATTTTTCGTGTTAGTACATAATTATGATCTTCTTAAACGAGCTTGATTTTGAAAATGTCTACATACAAATCGAACGTACCCCTTTAAATTTAAAGTAACACATTTTACCGTATGAACTCCATCACGTATCGCTTACTACCAGGCGAATTGGTGGTGGAGGCATATTAAAAAAAACACCTAATAGTATAATTATTTTTAATATACAGCGGGTTCAGAAACAGCACCCCTAGCGACAGCTGAAGGTACGGAAGAGGCAGAAATGGATACAGCCAACCCTGCCGTGTCACTAGAGAACAAGGAAGGAGGCGAGGGTTTCTGCATACTAGAGTCTGCACCAGCCGCCCATCGCTTCCGACTCTCCATGCTGCAGCCGTCTGAACCTAGGACCTTTTACTCAGCTGTGAAGAGAGAAATTAAACTGCTCAAAAGCGATCTGCCGCCAGGCGTGAGTATTTTTACTTTGTTTTTACAACTAGTACGGGATTTTCGTTACTCGTGTTAGATTTAAATAATTTTTACTTAAATTTAAGAGAGATTTTAATATTATGAATTAAAAATAATTATACATCGAATTTCCGATACATTACCCGCGCTTTACTTCACATGTAAATGTATCGGAAATCCGATCCCTAACACACTACATCAAGCAGATTTTTGAGTATATTCTTTTTCTGTATGAATATGAATTTCACATGAATGCATTATTATTTCTTAATTCCGTTACATACACTGAATATAATCAATTTTTAATTATTTCCTTTTTTATATATATTTAACAATTACTGCTTGCAGGTATGGGTCCGTGGCTACGAGGACCGTATCGACCTGCTATCGGTGATGATCGCCGGCCCCACTAAGACGCCCTACGAGGGCGGACTCTTTGTGTTCGACGTACAACTTGGCGGAGAGTACCCGAGGGCGCCGCCATTATGTCACTATCACTCATACTGTACTGACAGACTCAATCCTAACCTTTATGAAGACGGCAAGGTATGTACTCTGTTATCTTTGTTTGTTATTTATGTTTTTTAGAGGTTGAAAGTATCTGGGTTTTGATTAAAATACAAAGGATTTCATAATTTGCAATCAAAGTTTCTTTTAATTGGTTCTAATTAATTCATAGACCGGCGTAGAATTTATTCCAAAATCCCTGGAAGAATCTGTTTTTGGCAGAAACTTTATACAATTAATGTGAAAAATCAATCGTGAGATATTAATTTCATTCGTTAGACTACAGGTTTTATTTTTTATCGGTTTGTATCAGATTTGTTAAATTGATTCTCTTGTCCAGGTGTGTGTATCTCTCCTGGGCACATGGTCAGGGCGTGGTGTAGAGGTGTGGGGCAAGGACAGCTCACTGCTACAGGTCATAGTGTCGCTTCAAGGACTTATACTCAACGCGGAGCCCTACTTCAACGAGGCGGGGTATGAGAAACAGAAAGGTATGTGTGGATTCTATTTGTGGTACATGGTGTCCTTTACTGAAGGTTTGTTAATATCTTTGTTGTCGTGGTTGTAGGTACTCAGCAGGGCAAAGAGAACTCTCGCATGTACAACGAGATGGTGCTGCTGAAGCTGGTGCAGTCGATGACGAAGATGTTGATGAACCCGCCCGAGCCATTCCGCGCCGAGATCCTGACCCACATGCGCAGCGCGGCCGGGCCGCTGTGCACGCGCCTGGAGGGGCTGGTGCGGCTGTCGGGCGGCGCGGCCGACGGCGCGGCCGAGGGCGCGGCCGGGGGCGCGGCGGGCAGCGAGGCGGAGGCGGCGGGGGCGGCGCCCGAGTTCCCGCTGGTGCCGGCGTCGCGCGGGTTCTGCCTGACGCTGCGCTCGTCGCTGGAGAGCTTCCGCGTGGCGCTGCGACGGCACGAGATCAGCGTGCCGCCGCCGTCGTTATAGCCTCGCGGCCGCCCGCGCCCGGCGCCGGGTGTCCAGTGCCCGGAGTCGAGTGCCACGCTATGCATGCGGTAGTCGGGCTAGTTGTTCATATTACCTGATGATATGAATCCGACCGGTCCCTATAAAATTAATGATAATCAAATTCTAAATGAAATGTTCGATCTTATGCGAATGGTATGATTCTTAGATTTATTAATGCATAGATTAATATTATTTATTTGTTACAAAGTAATGTCTACTTTTAATTCAACATTCGACGTTATAATGTTTAGATTATGAGTACTTATTGAAATTGCATACTTTTTACGAAGCGAAGCTTATTGCTGTCATTCGAATATTTGCTACACTAATATTAATATAATATTTTACAATAAAGACAGATAACTTAGATGTACCGTCTAGAACGTTTCGTTCCTGATTCCAATATTGTTTAATATTACGGAGCTCCTACGTATCAGGCTAGGGTGTGCGAGTATTACGAGTATCTCATCGATGTCTATTTTATGTATGTGTAATGTTGTATGTAAAAATGCATTCACTCATTTTTGTGTAATTATAGTTTTGTTTTTATTTTATTTTTGTTTAATATTGCGGGAAATATGATTTGTATGGTAAAATGATGTAGAGTAGTCGTGGTGTTTCGGCGCAGTCCCGGCAGACAGTACATACTTAGCATAGTCGGCGGTAGCAGCGAGCTCGACGCGTCTCTTTAGATGTTCACTATGTTGTTGTTGTTTTCTCATGTTACCAGTGTATCAACATAATACATCATTACACTATTAGCTTTAGTGCATGTAGATGTTTGGAATTTCATTTCCTCACCAAATCCGAGCGTCACAAAAGTAATGTCTTACTTACAGTGATACCCACGTTATTAGTATTAATTTTACATTTCCCGGAAATTAATATTAACAATACTAAAAATTGAAAGTGCTATATCCAGTGATTCACGCTTGTTACTGAGATATTTTGGAAATTAGTTTTAATTTTCTATTCAATCTTGTTTTAGAAAGAAAATTCTTCCTCGTTAGTGCTTATAGTATTAAAACATACGGCCCACGCCGCGCCGGCGGCAGCACAAATACAATGTAACTTCATGCCAAAGTCAATTGAGCTATGGAAGGCTTTTGTCGCTTGTGTACGCGAGATAAGTGACAACTATGTATAATGATGAAAAATAAATAATTCTTCAACATTATTTATGTCTTTTTTTTAATATTTATCCACTTCGTTTAGAGAAGTTTGCCTCTGAACATGAACTACGCCCCTAGGAAGGTGATGATTATAATAATAAACATAATGACCCGCCCGACCCGCGGGCTAACATCATCCCGAGTGCTCCAGGGAGAAATCACCGCTCCTTATTCTCCGTGTTGCCTTGGTTGGCTGGAGTGAATGATGACGAGGAACAGATTTCCCACCTCTGGCTTACCTTCGTTGGCCGTCCAGCAGCTGTAGCCATGATATTTGCCATTTAGCGCTTGTTAACTTGTAGAATACAAACCTAAATTATATGGAATTGACGTAAATTTTGGCACTTGTCAGAGTCATCCTCATACATTTAGTTTTCTACTCTCTCTGTAGACAAGCGCTAAAATGGCGTTTTGCTAAAGGCGCTGAGTAGAAAGCAGCGGTAGGTAGTTTCTAAACCCTTTAGCCACTCACATTTTCGTTGTTCCTGTTGCTATACCTAGCAACCATTCCCGGGGCCCGGACGGTGAGTTGGCGAGTCTCCGTCTGCCATTTTTACGTGTAGTAATTCTATTGTTTCGGTAGGTGCCATAGTCATCCATAGTTTACAATTTACCAGTCTACAGCAACCCATCCATCCTACCTTTGATTTCCATTATCCACAATAGTTCTTCACTAACCGGAGACTGTCGTTGGGTGCATTTTCGTAGTGCATACAGGGATAGTCGACGGTTTAGATAATTTGAAAATGTATCAGTTTTGTATTCAAAATTCTCTACACTATATTTCATTTTTTACAACTGTCGCCCGCGACTCTGTCCGCATAGAATATGAATTTTAGAACAAATTGTTTTAATTTTCCGAAACAAAAGTAGCTTGTTACTCCTTAGTACATCCTACTTACCAATATTGACTTTTATTTAATACCTGCCAATAAAAGTCTTGCAATCGGTCCAGCCATTCCAGAGATTAGTCAGTACAAACAGACAGACAAACATAAATTGTAAAAATGATATTTTGACATAAATATTCATATGCATGTAGAACAAAGAGTATATATAGTATTTTTTTAAGCGGGGAAAATCATCGAATGACTGCTCCCGCCTGGGTGAGGCGGGAGGGAGTGTCAGACTCTTGCTGACTAAAAACCACCCCGTTCCTTCTCCTGCACGTCGAGCCGGAGCCCCGGTTACCCGTTAGGTTCTCAGTAAGTATAGGGAGAAAAGAATGTTGTAGGAAAAAGCGGTTATTTTAATATGACAAGCATACACTCTAATTTTACCTATTTATCTGTATAAATAAATTCAAGTTAAATTTGTGTTCCTATTTGTTATGCTGTGTACGTTGACATGGAAGATAAATAAAACAAATTAATTTGAACACGCACGGTTAATTTATTTTTTATATATAAAAATATTTTGTACTGCTAATAAAATTATTAATGATTCAGTCGATTTAATAAACTCGTATTTTAAATCTAATACATTTATAATGGTTTGTTTATCTATCACAATGAAAATATAAAGCAATACGTGTATGAAAATTATAAAAAATAATTCGACAATTAATACATTACGTAGCAACAATATTATAATTCACTAATTTGGCACCATTATTCAAAATCAAATATAAAAGCTACAGTTACTACAAAAAATACGTATCTACTCTCATTAAATTGAAAATAAAATAAAATACAAGCAAAATATTGCTGTTTCTCTATAAATTTTAATAAAATGCATGCACGCGAATAGTGTATAAAACATGAATACACATCGAGATGGGCCATCTTTACAAAAATATAAAAAAAACGATAAAAACATGTCATGACTGAACAATCTGCACAATATTAAAAAATTGTCATGAATATAAGTACTTTAACATTGAATAATTGATTTCGCATACATATCATAACATCACGCCTTTTATCCCCGAAGGGGTAAGCAGAGGTGCACGTTACGGCACTTAATGCCACTGTACAATGTAACACCCAATTTTCAATATTTATTTTATGAGTCTCATGTAATAGGGGGTGAGTCTAATGCCATATACCGGGCACATATCCAGACTACATGCTACTAATTAAAACCCAGTAATGCTTTGCCCAGTAGTCGCACTCGCAACCACTCGACCAACGAGGCAATCATTAATTTCACATTGACATTATACGTAATTGATTTCACATTGACAATAAATCTATAATCACAATTTATTAAATGTCTAAACAGGAATACAACAAGTTATACATGCTAATTTCTATAACATTTATTATTCGTATATATTTTTGGTCAACAACCAACATACATAATTATTGTGCGAAACTGAAATATCAAAATGTAAAATTACATTATTAGCAAAATCAATAAATAAATAATTATAAAAAATCTCTTTATTATAAAGCATAGAAATTCATTCTTTGGGAATTAGGTAACATTATAGCAAAAAAATTTTACTTTTTCAACGACCTCTTCTAAATTTTAGGTAACCCCTAAGTTAAGATAGGTTTTACTTTTCACCAATCTATAAGTGACACCTAACAGTACAAGTAAGGGGTTATAGTTTATGTGCTAAGTAACTTTTAGTTAAAGATGGTTTAGGAGAGGTTGTTGAAATCCTTAGGAACAAGATATTATATCTATTACAAATAGGACGTTGTAAAAAAGTTAATATTACAAAAACTGTTAACAAATGCATTGGGTTTTTTCGGAATATATTCGAAAAACCCGAGTAACAATTCCAGGAAATCGATCCAAATAAGTTAGATTACGTTTTTAATTTAAGAGATAACAAATGGATTTTGCGCGATTTGTAAAACTTAATTATTAAGTTATAGTTGCCGAATATATTAAAACTGCGCACATTGATACATTCATATCGATACAAATAGCAGATATCTAAGTAAATTAACCTTTGTTTATAATTACATGTTAATGATTGTTACCGATAGAGTTATTTTATGGCAAACATTGATACAAAAATACAATGGCTGTGCTATCGACAATATATTCCATAGGTACCTATAGTAATTAAACAGGATATATTGTCGACTGCACAGCGAAGGAGAAATATGAACACATAAGGAATATATTGTCGTTTTAGCAGACTTCTTATACCTACATAGATTGAGTTAAAGATTTATTTGATTTGGGTAAAATAACAATGATTAATAGACATTAAAAAACGTATCCTAATCAGTTTATATGTAGACCAACCTGCCTTTAAGCTCACTCCTTATACTTCCCACAGTTCTCACTTTACGAAACAAAATCTGCTTCACGCAATTTATTACAATTAATGTCATGAGTTCTTCTCGAATATGTGTACTGACACTAGAATTATACACACAAACGACCACAACAGGACGAAGATCGCCCACGCAACGTGGGAAAATGGACTTTTATACTTATTGACTACTCCTAACCCTAACAAGTTAGTGCAGTGGCGTCTCGCAGACACCACTAAGAACGTAGGAATGAAGTACTGAATGCCCGTCCCAGCGTACGAGCCCGTAAACTCGATCAGAACACTTATATCTTCTAAGTAATAAGTAAGCAATACTGGAGGAACCACAGTTACTATGGGGAATATCACTTTCCTCAAAATAAAATTGTAAGATTCAAGTCTTGAGGTGTCAAGGAAGAGACTTTGTAAATTATTTCTTAAAGTTATAGCGATGATTGGGAAGCTGGTGGACAAAGTGAAGACTGGGAACAGTGCGAGGAAATATTCGATGATTTCTAGGAATATGTTGTCGTTGTCGGCTGGTATGAAGTTAAGGGTGTATAGATCGTTTAGATGTGCGAAGGCGAAGGCGCCAGTGAACGCGAGGAGCAGATAAAAGATGGCGATGAGTGCGTAGTCGAAGAACAGATGCAGGCCGAGCCTCGTCTTGCCGCGGATGGGTGCGATGAGGCCGGGCAGGGAGTGGTGGCACATGAACGAGTACACGCACGCGCCGAACAGCGTGGGCATGCCCGTCACGTCGAACGGAGGCGGGTGGCCCTGCGGCCCGCGACCCACCAGCAGGTGGATCGCCATTGAGATCATTATTGTGAATGCTGTAAAACAAACAAAGCATAAATATTAATTTTGTATTGATCAGAGTACTGTTAAAATAAGAGTTAATTTGTTATCATCAGACAGACATAAATATTTACTAAATTACTAATGAAATCAGCTACCTACTTAGTCGTACAAACATGCTTAGTGCCCACATCAAAGGCTGACAAAGTAAATCCTAGATGTAGGTACTACGAGTATAGATTGTGATATATTACAATCAGTATAATATGTGCATGTTCCCAGGCCCCAGCCATACATCACACAACGACAAACGTGCTGATTGCTCTCGTTATTGTGTCATCCGCCATATTTAATTCTCTGTCAATTGGCAATTGGCGCGAATGCAATAAGTGGGCTATCACTGCACTCGTATTCAATGTATCAGGAACATGCAATTTATTAATTGAGCCTGTTAGGTCCCTAACTTCCAATTTGGGTACCTACATATTCTCCTATAAGCTCTCGGGCTATCAGATTTACATCGAGGACTTACTTAAAAAACTAGGTTAGTACCCGTTATTCCAATTATGTCCTATGTACGTGTATGTAATGTTTTCTAAATATTCCAATTCAACATTTTATCATTGGCAATAAGAATAAGTGAACTATATTTACGGTCCACACTCCACATGTGAATTGATTACTGATACTTATCAATAGAGACCGGATAATATGCATTTGCATATTTGCATATGCATTTGCATATTTAAGCGATTTTCAAGGCTAATAGCATATTTTTACTAATATCCAGTGATGATGCATATTATTGCTATAATTTACAGTAGGTAGGTATTTTTCGAGCGTAGCGCACTCGGCAGCCGCGCGTATTTTGTTTTGGTAGGTACTCAAAAAATGAAAGAGACAAATGATCACACCTATTATGCATGTCATTATTACTTTGATTGTTGACACGCTCGTGCTCGGATAATTCACCTGAAGGTAAAAGTTTCTGTGTGTGTACAATGCCTCCCGAAAAAAAAAGTGTGTCTTCGTGGATAAGTGAATTTCCTGGAACATTTACTTACGACGGAAATGTTTTATATTGTAGAGTTTGCGAGTTCTTAATAGTTTTTATCAAATAACAATAAATTAAAAAGATACATACATAATAAAGTAAAACATAAATAAGACAAGTATTTACTAAAAAAATACTTAAATCTAAAGGAATAATATTTACAAAACAAAAAAAAACTCAATTAAGTAAAAACGCGGGTTACTCACGTGAATATACTGAGAAAAGCTCTACTAGTCAAGCGCGGTCTACTAGTCAACTAGTCAAGCGCGGTCGCGGCGACGTCGCCGCGACCGCGCACGCTGCTCATGAGGAAGAACCCCTCTGTGGTTCGAAACTAGTAGAGCTTTTCTCAGTATATTCACGTGAGTAACCCGCGTTTTTACTTAATTTAGTATGTCTCACGATAGTTATTATAAAAAAAAAACTCATTTAATGTTGCATATTCTGTCAGTTTTCGTGCATATTTTAGGCATTTTTCATGCATATCTGCATGCATATTTCAAGCTTTTTATGTTGCATATTATCCGGTCTCTACTTATCAATTTCAAAATTATTATATTCGATAACGTTACATAAATTATACATATTCTGTTTAACTTTATGACTGTTTATAATTAAACCGATAATATTGTTATACTAACGCGTTCGTTGCAGGGTAAAATGTATGTAGATCGATAGGCCTGTTTGTTGCTTATCGTTCAATTATAATTACATGTCATAAATAGCCTATACAGTTAATTAAATTATACAAGGAAAAAACATATTCTTCGCATTTTTACATAAAATTTGGCGACTAAATAAAGTACCTTACTCAAAGTAAGGACCAAAGCACCTTTTGAAGCAGGTAACCATTTTTTCAACACTGTACTGATTCCCAAATTCTTTTCTATCTATTGTTGAACGATTTCTTTTGCTAGTGAGTGTCACAATGAGACCATTTAATTGAACGAAACCATACACAGCATACCAACAGATAACCTTTGAAAATTTTAATAGAATTTTGCATCACTGAGCAGATGTGATGCACTAATGCAAATCGCCTTAACCGAATTTTGAGTCGTCATTGTCAGAGGTCTTTGTTTGACAATGCTGACCCGGCAAACGTTGTTTTGCCATATAAATAATTTCGTAGAAGGGTGAAAATTGAGGAGTGTATGTATTTTTGTATGTTGTATCAGAAAAAAATAGAAATTAAAAATGTTGTGTAAAAAATAAAAACAAATTAGGGTTGGACTACCCCAAACATTTAGGGGGATGAAAAATATATGTTCGCCGATTCTCATAGATACGGAGGAGTATGGCAACGAAAACTGTGACACGAGAATTTTATATATTAGATGTAGGAGACTCACCCAACCACCGCATGCCCGAAGTAAACAGCTGCAGGTATTTAGTCTTCTGAACGTTAAAAAAGACGAAGGGACCCATGGCTGCGACGAATGTGAGCAGAGCGACCCTGTAGGTGTCCAGCCGGGTGTACCCGGTGTGCTCCGCAGTAGAAGCGTTGAAGCACGGCAGCTCATCCCACATCTTCGAGTCAGTCACGTTCGGAGGAATCGGGGAGCTGGAATGAGGATTTTACTGAAATTAGGTTTTATAGAAATACACACGGCCAAGACTACATAATATATTTAAGATATTTTTTTCTGTATATAACTGTAAGTAGCTACCTAAGCACGTAAGTTAAGAACCTGCAGTCAAGCCTCCTCTAGGGCCTTACAGTAGCTGATGGTGGCCACCGGAGTGGTTATGGTTATAGTGTGATAAAAATCCCATACTCTTTAGTCTTTCTCCGCAAGCGAAAACCGACTTGGTTTCCCCTATCACCAGAATAAAAAAAGCTAGAATGGGTACCGTATGTCTACGAAGTTATATGTACTTTCTAAGAATATTTAGACACCACTGATAAACGGTGAAGGAAAACATCGTGAGGAAACCTGGGCTTATAATTTCAACTATAAGTTTGTAATCACCAACCCGCATTGAGCAAGCGTGGTGATTCATTACTCAAACCTTTTCTGTGTGAGAAGAGGCTTTGCTCAGCAGTGGGCATTTATAGGCTGTTGATGTCTAGGACAACATCATTAATAAAAAGCTAAGTCTGAGATAGTATCCGATATTTGGTCGGTTAATTATCTCACATCTTGGGACATTTTCCAAAATATAATGGATAGAACTTAAACAGTACTGCTTGTATAAGTAGTTTGCCATATAGGTGACGAGCTGACTAAACATGCGCACGGTAGCCTGACATTTACGACTCAAAACGACCTTCAAGAGCAAGTGAAATAGGAACGACTTCTAACTTTATTGCAGCAGAAAAATGCAACATTTTCTATTATTATTATTTGTAAGATCAATAAATCAATCTGACATTTAAACATTAACCGTGATCGCGTCGCACGCGCATTCTATCGGTATAATAGAACAGACATTCGCCCGATCACGATATCTTGTTATTTGAGACTTGAACATTATTACACCTGAATAAATATTTGACATTATTCGTATAACATTAATTATTATTAAGCTTACACTAACTGTAAGTAACATAGCTCTGTATGTACAAGCACCTATATAAATAGAAAATACACAGGTAAAATAGGGTAGTTATTAGAAAATTCATAATCTAATTAGTCCGTCAGTTAGATAATGAAAAAAATATTAGACACGTATTTTTTTATTTTCTCGTATAAAGTTACAATTCTTAAATAAAATGGCGTTAAGTTTAGGAGTGGGAGGTAGTTACGTCATAACGTGGTACATTTTGTAGCACGCTGTGACGTCACGCGACATTTTAAATCAATATATCGTCAAAAGCATTTAATTTTGTGAGAAAAGAAAAAATACGTGTCTAATGTTTTAAAATAATCTACCAGACAGACATTAAAATAAAATTTAGGAAACTATCCTATTGCAGGCATGTAGGTACAGTTGGCCAAGTCATTTGTTACGCAGATAAAAAAAATCTCAATCGATCGAATTCGTCGATTACGGAACTAGGTACTCTAACTAGGTATAATAAAACTGTGCAAATTATAATTTAAGTATATAACATTACCTAAATTAGATAAGTACTATTAAACTATAGCATATCTTGCCGAATAACCTATGTTTTTTCAAACATCTATGGACTCAACGACTTTTTTCATAAAAAGCAATACACGACAAATATGACTACTTGTCGTATTGTGATTATGTAAATGACATAAAGGCTTACCTACCTATATTTTATCAATAGTAGGTATCTCGGTAACAGTCGCTCAGATCGATGTCCGTAAGAGATAAGATATACGCTAACTATATTTCAGAAAAGAAAAAACTACGTGGCTCCTAGAGTAATTGCGATTTAACCCTTGTTTGCATAATTTTTTATTCCGTAGAAGTACCTAATACACAAGTACGAGTAAAGTTAAGTGAGCTTTAACTACTTAAACTTATTCTCACTTTTTCTTAGAAAAATATTATAATATGACATCATGCCTTTTATCCCCGAAAGAGTAGGCAGAAGTGCACATTACAGCACTTAATGCCACTGTACAATGTAACACACACTTTTCACCATTTATGTTATGAGTCCCATGTAATAGAGGGTGAGCCTATTACCATATACCGAGCACATTTCCAGACTACATGCTACTACTGAGAATTTTTATAAAATCCAGTAATACTTTGAATCGAACCCGAGACCAACGAGACGGTCATTAATTTCACATTAACATAATAATATTATACGTAATTGATTTACGCACAATTCCACATTTACACAATTTCAGACTCCGTGCTACTACTGAGATTTTTTTTTAAAACCCATTGTTATAAATATCGGGTAAAATAATACCTTATAGTTTATTACTACTTTACATGTAGTTTCATTTGAGAACGTTCTCTGTACGGTATAATAATATAAAAATAATAAAATAATGCAGGTGGCGAGTTGTCGTAGGACGTGAAGGACTAAGTTGGAGGCTTTTGTCCAGTAATGGACGTCTTCGGGCTGTTGATGACGATGATGATGAATATAAATACCTGTTAAGATACGTTTCTATTACCTAATTAATAGACTAACTGTAACTGAAGGAACAGTTATTCCTCTTTAATTAACTTTATCTTTAGGACGAATTGATTGTTGTGGGTTGTGGCTGTAAGTTGAAGTAATTAACATTATGATCACATTAAATTAATCCTTACCTCCTTACACCTGATTGTTGATACCATTATCTACAATAATATTAGAAGGGAAAAGATTTGATTTTTTTTGTTTAAATTGAATAGGCTCCGAAACTTCTGGAGCTATTTGAAAAATTCTTTTACTGTTGGAATCCTACATTATACCTGATGAACATAGGCTATGTTTAATAAGAAAAAAAGCGGACCATTTCGATAATGTAATGTATACTTAAATTGGGATTAGTCCTTAAGTTAACTAATGAAAAAATATTAGACACGTATTTTTTTATTTTCTCGTGTAATCAAACAATACGTAGATAAAACGAATCAAATTTTAGAAGTGGGGGCTAAAACGTCATTTCTACGTATATGACAGTGGACTTTTGACCTTTGACAGTACATAGAAGTGACGTCACGCGACATTTCAAATCAATATTATTATCGTCGAAAATATTCATTTCTGTAAGAAAATAAAAAATACGTGTCTAATGTTTTAAAATAATCTACCAGACGGACATTAAAATAAAAATTAGGCATCTACCTTATTACCAAATGATCTTCATATTTAATTATTGAGAATATAAGTACTCTCGACAATAGTTAGTAAACTATTATGACACGGTTCATTAATCGTGTGGGTCACTTATCCTTGGATAGTCTGTGTATGTTTATTTACCAAATGATCATATCGGTCAAGGTAATAGGTACTTAAAGCATGATGACTAGCTACGATTTGAAGGCTTTTTTAAGTCTTTAGGTATATTGTTGTGTTTATTTAAGATTAGATTTTTAGTTTTGTTATAAGTAAGATTTACTTAAGTAATAGGTAGGATGTGAATTAACCTATTGGTTCCTAAAGGAAACAATCCGAATCCATATCGATTTCGAATACTCGATTATCGAACCTTAGATTATTAACTCTGTCGATATATCGATCGATATGTTGATAATAACAACCTTCTTTGTGAAAAAAAATGTGGTTAATGTAGCACGTAAGATTAAACAATTTTGACTGTAAAATAACCACTCTGACGTCCGTGGATAGTACAGTATCCAAGAAAAAAGGAGCGTCATACGCCCATGGATACTATAGTATCCAAAGCGACGAGTTGTGTTAAATGCCCTCTAGTTTAAAATATGGTCTCGATTGGTGAGTTTTGACAGATTATCTATACAGTTGAATAAATAGTTCGACGAAAAAAATAGAGATGGCAGTGTAATAAGCTTTGACAAACAAAATATAATTTTTTAAATTCAGTTGACTCGTTTGACGCGCGTGTTGTGAAGTGTTTTTGTGAGTGCCAACAATTATGTCGTAAGTACTACAGTTTTGTTTTATTTATCTTGCAAGTGTTATACATCAAAATAAACTAGAAGATTTGTGCTTTACGATGATGTATAAATATCACAGTTTTAGCTGATAAATCTAGTCTACTTTTAACTTCAAACGATTGTTGTTTCGAAAAAAATGGCCGGTCGTATGGTGTCGGCTACTTTTAGTTTTGTTTATACATATTTTACATACTTTGCATTACAATAGTATATAAAATATCGAAATACATTTCGTAATAAGCAAAATAATACATTTTTCAAAGAGAAATATACTAAATTCACTGAAGATTCCATAATAATGTCAATGTGTTCCTCAGGTTTTTTGATGTGGACTGTTTGGTATCCACGGACGTTACATGAAACGTGATAAATAAGGTTCGCTATACACGGCAAAATATGTTTGCATTATTTTTGTTTTGCTAGTGGTGGTATAATATTTTGCTTGAGATGATACTAATATTTAATATAAAATGCACTTTTGGGTTTTGTACTAATATTCATCATTTATTTTTCGCTTGGTTTCCGTTGGATATGTATAATGTTCTAATGGTTTTTTTTTTTTTTGAAACATTAATTACATGTTTGTTCGTGTTGATTAATTTCCGCTAAATGTAAAAAAATGCACTTGTGGATTTGACTACCTTTCTTTTTTACTGTTGCCCTTGCACGTGTTGCATGGTCGCATATATTTTAATGCTTCGCCAAATTTTATTTTATTCTTTTAACAATACTAATGTTTTAAATTATTCATGCAGATCACCAAATGAAAGCTTTTATGTTGAGGGAAATGGGGGAACTAGGGGACGTGGGGGAAACAGGGGACGTGGGGGTCGCGGTGACCATATGGAAGTGTCTACAATGCGACGTCAATCTCTGCATTGAAAATTGTTTTATGGCTTACCATATATAAATGTGTGGAAAGAATAAATTATTATATTATATATTGATTTTTTTATTTGCTTTTTATTTAAATAACCAACTAGAACAAATAAACAACTTCAAAAATACAATTATTGCATAAAACTAATTCATAAAATTATTTAAAATATTTTATTAAAATTACATCGTGTGTGGGAAACCTTAGACGGGCGGCCATATTGCTATTATTTCGCCTTCTCGGACGAGTCAAGGGCGCTCGGGACATCGCGGTAAAATTACGAGGAGTAGTGTTTTGTTTTGATTTAATTAAAATACTTAGAGTTAACCGAATGTAATCGTATATACATCAGAAGAAAGGGTAATAAGTCTAGTTTGTTGTAAAAATATTTTATTGATAAAATATGCAATAGTTGTGCCTTATATTCTAAAAAGGTAGAAATAATTGTGTATTTTTTTTCTGAATTACATGTTTAACCCGGTTTTTTGTATCAAAGATTATAACTTACGATTTAAAAAAATTGTTAAGATTGATCAGTATTCTTCAATCTTTTTTTTGGTATTTTTTTCTTTATTCTAGCCATTACGGTTCAGTAGCTATATAGGTTTTTTGTTACGACGAACTTGCGAGTCGCGCGCGGTTCGGACGCCGCGCGCAGCTGGACGTTAGAGAGATAAACGGTCGCGCGGCCCGGACGTTAGAGTGGATAAAAAAAAATGTAAATAATTAAATGACAAGGGCACGGACAAGAGTCCGTGGAGAAAAAGAAATCTAATATAAAAAACGCTCTGTCGCTATCGAGTACTCGATTACCAGAACTTGCTTTGCTTTAGTTAAAGTAGATATTTAAGTTAGACTAAGTTACATAAAGAAATAGACCACTCACCACACTACATCCATAACAGACTTCGCAACAGCTGCCGAATATATAGACAGGTCTCCATAGAGGTAAATACACAGGGTGCAATAGAAAGTGGTCCTGCCGAGTTTGTTGAAGAATAGGTTGGCCATCTCTCCCAGCTCCACACGCCGGTCGAGGCTGTAGTATCGAGAGGGGATGGTATCACCACAGACCAGTGGCTCTTCAAGGTCACCGTGGTTGTTCTGTGACGTTGATGGGTCGTCATCTGATTCATGGTCTTGGATCTGTAATGTCAAAAGCAAGTTTAAACAGTGGAGAAAGTTGAGGAGGTTCACAATTTAGTTGGAACTGATGTACCTAGATTGTATTTCATCCATAGTTTGTACGTAACAAGTATAGGCACGTAGTAAGGAAATTTAAGGTATGTAAACATTTTAAACCAATAAAGAATACTAATTAGAATTTCACAACACGACTAATCTATTACTACTGAAGGAGCATTTCGTAAGATATCGGACCACTTTATATATTTATTTACCTATCTACCTATACATCTAGGTATGAACGCCGTTAAACGATATGTTTGGCGAGGATCTTCAATACATAGTATAAAACAAAGTCGCTTTCGCTGTATGTCCGTATGTATGCTTAGATCTTTAAAACTACGCAACGGATTTTGATGCGGTTTTTTTTAATAGATAGAGTGATTCTTAAGGAAGGTTTGTATGTATATAACATGCATATTGCACCCGTGCGAAGCCGGGGCGGGTCGCTAGTTAATTATAAGAACAAAATGTTAATCCTAAAATTGTACATTTGTTAAATAAATAAATAAAATAAATAATTCCAGGACCTACATACTTAGATGGTTTTATAACTTTTCTCAAGGCAAGGGGTCTCGGGTTCAATTCCCGGGTCGGGAATGTAAAAGTATTACTGGGTTTTTAAAAAAATCTCAGTAGTATGGTAGCTTGGAGTCTAGTATATGGCAATAGGCTAACCCCATATTACACGAGACTCGTACTTAACATAAAATAGTGTAAAGTGGGTGTTACATGGTACAGCGGCATTAAGTGCTTATAATGTGCACATTATAAGCGGTGACCCATAAATCCCCAAGCGGTGACCGCTTGGGGATTTATGGGTTAAAATGCAAAGTCATTGCTTCTACTGGTAGGTACTTGCAACTGTATAATTTAGTTTGCTATTCCAGAATAATGTTTTCAACATAACTAGACATTCCACACATTTAATTAAAGGCTGAATAGTTATAACACAATTCTATTTATAGACCTGTGTCATAGGCTCTGATAAACACAGTATAATGTATTCCATGCGCATACTCTACTAGTATTATATTGTTATTCAATACGGTAGCTGACAGGTAGTCAAATTCAATACTTTTATTGAAATGTCAAAAACGATACTTTTCTATGAATTTTGTATTGCATCGCTACTTATGACGTCACCCCATTTCTGCGTCAAACAGCATAATTATTTCCTTAAAATTAGCGAGAAAAAATCCAAAAGTAGGTAAATTGTCAAATCAATGGAGTGAAGTGATTATTTTTTAATTATTTATTGCATTGTTAAGTTCAAACAATTTATTTGAAATCTGAGAAACTAGCTAATTCTGTTGATTAACCAATAATCAGAGGAACAAATTGCTCACCGTTAGATATTTATAGTTATACCCGGTTAGTTTATGCCAACATAATTTGCCATAGCTTCACACATATGCGCACATTAAGATAAAAAATCCATTATTAAAAATTAAAAATGAACATTTTTACTATTTCAATATTTGAACTGATTTTATTACTTTTCTGACATAATTGTAGATTCACCCTCTATTATGAATCTTGTATAAAGTGTTTTAACTTATATTGAAGGGGATGTGGTGCACTAGAGCGCCAGGTATTTAGGGTGCACTGGCACCCGGTATTGAGAAGTACAGGCGCCAGATATGACAGGGCTCAAGGAGCCATCAGACCATCACAGATGAGAACCAACAGGGCTGTTGCCTCTACGGAGCCGCGGAAGACTTTGCGGGTTTCCGGGGCTACGGCTCGGAGTGCAGGAGTAGGAACAGGGTGGTTTTTAGTCAGTAAGAGTCTGACACCCTCTCGCCTCACCCGGGCGGGAGAAACCATTGGATAATTTTCCCGCCTCAAAAAAAGATATGACAGGGCACTAACACCAGGCATTAGGGGGCACCAGATATTAGGGGGTGCCACAGAATCACTCACTTAACAAGCTCTCACGCAAGAATCAATCAAATAACTGCTGTAAGATACAAGCCAACATTATAAATACCGTGATATGCTTTCAAAAGGTACTAGCCATGCCATGTATTTGCATATATTATTTCCATGTTTGTGTTTCAAGATAGATAAATATGTATATTTCTTATAAGATAGGTGTTACAAGAAATATTTATTGTGACCACACAACTTTTATAATTCTAATAATTTGAGCTTACCTATCTATCATTGTGCCAATTTCAAACAGTGCACTAACCGGATACTAAGACCCCAACTAATATTATGAAATGCAAAAGTAAGCTTCTCTATGCTCTACCTACTTCAAAACTTAAAAAAAGTGAGCAAAACTATGACTATAAGTTAGTTTGCCACAAATTTGAGTACCAAAGAAGTTAAGTAAAGAGTGAGCTGCGCGACGTCGCCGCGACCGCGCACGCTGCTCATGAGGAAGAACCCCTCTGTGGTTCGAAACTAGTAGAGCTTTTCTCAGTATATTCACGTGAGTAACCCGCGTTTTTACTTAATTTAGTATGTCTCACGATAGTTATTATAAAAACCAAAGAAGTTGTTGATGTTCAGAAAAACTTATAAAACTAATACTTACACTCTCCCTCTTGATAGTCTGCAACCTCTTCCATTTAAACACAGCGTTAGCACAAGCCATAGTTTCTATCACATAAGTAGCATTCAAGAAACTCATGAATGCAAGGAACATCAGGGATATTGTGCTGAGAGCCCATCCTGCTCGCGCAAAGGCTGCCGGAAGGGTCAAGGCTCCAGTGCCAACAATTAAGTTGAAGACATAAATTAAACCCACCTAGGAAAGAAACAAAGGAATAAAGGATGTAAGCATTAACACATTTTATTATAAAATACTTATTTCTTGCAATATTTCATTTTATATTTGCCCAAGAACATAATTAATTGCTGCTTTACATTTTTAATAAGGCAATGTTTTGTTTACATTACAAGTTTTAATTTGTAACAATATGTAGTGCTCAAGCACTGAAAGTAGGTGAGAGACAGTTTATAACGGTTCCGCTTACGGTGGAGGGAGAAACAACAGTTTACATGGATCATAAAACAACAAAAGATAATCTACCGTCGATTATGTGGCAATCCGTTTATTATTATTAAATAATTAAATATCGCACGTCGTAACATATGTTAAATAAATTAACATTAATTTGTCATTTAATATATAAACATAACAATAAAAATACATACCCATATTGAATATTGGTCCCCAGTCTCTGTTAAAGGCATTCTTAACAGCCTCCTTAGACCCCAAAAACGACGAGGCATAATTCTCTGTTTTCACACAACATTGCTGCCGGATATCTGACACAGCAATGAACGAATTTTCATCAATTGACGCAAAATGTGTGTATCGATAAATAAGGAAAATTTGTGATAACGAATGAACACAATAGATTTTGCAAATAACAGCTAACACCATCTAATCAAATTGACAGTGACAGTTGACATATCTTTTGACGTTTACAAAGCTTTAGCATCATCTACGGTATTCCGGTATTACGGTATTATATATTATATTACGGTATTCTCCCTGTATTCTCTTCTGCATACGAAGCCATCCATTTTAAACCGAAACTTGTTCTGGGGTTAGGTCTTTCAAAATCTTCGGCAAACATTGTTGGAAACTTTGAGCGGGCACTGGAAGTGTATTGGAAGGGCTGGAATGTGTTCTACACTGATGCGTCAAAGTTGACCCAAGAGGGTTGTACAGGGGTGGCAACATATTTTCAGAACTCCAGAATAACTATGCTTTTTAAGTGTCCGCCAGAGGCTTCAGTTTTCACGGGAGAATGCGTTGCAATCTTGGAAGCTGTGAAATTTATTAGAAGTCATAATATTAAAAATTCTGTAATTTTTTCAGATTCCCGTAGTAGTATTCAATCTTTAGGTCAAAATCAGTTACACACCAAAATCCATAGCCAGCTAGTTGTAGATATTAAACACCTCCTTTGGTGCTGTCATAATGAAGGGCTTAATATCGAAATAGTTTGGATCCCTGGCCACTCTGGCATACGCGGAAATGAATGTGCTGATGCGTTGGCTAAGTTTGCTACGTCAGGTGATGTGGAACGCCATCATTTTGTTATACCCGGCTATGATATCCGAGCCGACACAAAGCGAAAGCTCTATGACACGTGGTCTTCAATATGGAAAAGTACCTCACAGCGTAAAGGAGCTTACTACGCTTCCGTCCAACCTAGCATCCAGAGGAAACCTTGGTTTTTTAAATTTCGTAAAATCCCAAAACAAGCAGTCACGTCCTTGTGTAGACTTAGACTCGGCCACTGCAGTAGTCCAGTTTTTTTGTACAAGATTCACATTCGTGACAACTCTGTATGCGAATGTGGTCTTGATGAGGGTACCCTCGAACATATATTTTTTTCTTGCTCCATAAACTCCCAATATCTAGACCTCTATAGAGAACTCCCTAATATTAAAATTCCCCTCCCAATTAATTTTCGCTCACTATTAACCAATTTTTTTCCTAAACTCATTAACCTTTTGGCAAAATTCATTATTAAAAATAATATTAAAATCTAATATATAA